AGCAGCATTTTGCCTAAGTGCATATAAGTTAGGCCTGTGAAACAGTACTAATGACCCAAAAAGAAATGTCTAAGAATTCAATAATATTTGCATAAATAATACTACTATAATACTATACTGTACAAGCGCTAAGAAAGCTACAGTCATGACACCTTACCATTTTAATTATGAAAACTGGCAGAGGAAAGATATACATTATGAAAAATGGGGATCCTGCTTTCCGCATTTGATAAAAAATTACTATTTCCCCTATGTTTCTCAAGAAGATTCTTTTTATCGCATTTATAATTTCTTATTTAGAAAAAAAGCCTATTAAAGAAAATATTAAGTGAAACCGAAAACTATTTTCTCCAGTTAATTAGCCTTATGTTCAATTTTAAGCTTCTGTTTCGCTTTTAGTTTCAAATTATGGATGCAAACCCTGGGTTAGGATGACTAAGGATCAGCCTAAGAGTCTTCAATATGCTAAAAACAGATTACCTATGCATGTTTCTTAATGGCAGGGAGAGAAGACAGCTTTCCAGCAAGGACGTGGTGGCTGGAACAGAGGCTGGCTTGGAATGCACTTGGAATGCCCCATTTTCAGGGGACCCTGGTGCCTTGGGAACCACAATCCTGACAGCCGCTGACCCTGCAGTGGTTGCAGAGCAGAGCCCTGTTCTACAAAGAGCCTGAGCTATATAATGGTTCTTAGGAATACTTTCTTATCATGCTAGATATGGGTGCCATCATTTACTGAATACAAAAATGTGACTTTTGGTTTTGTTCAGGGGCGATGGCAGCTCAAAATTCACTGATACCACATATAGTTGGAAATAGTTGGTACAAGGCTGTTACACAAAGCAAAGCACATTCATGTGCTTCTGACCTTAAAATGTCTGCTGATAGCTAGGTAAGCATGGTGATGCACGCCTTTAGTCCCAGCACTCGAGAGGCAGTTCTCTGTGAGTTCAAGGCCAGCCTGGTCTACATAGTGAGTTCCAGGCCAGCTGGGGCTACAGGGAGACCCTGTCTCAAAAAGACCAAACAAACAACAACAACAAAACACATCTGCTGATACTTTTAGTCAGTTGTTTGTGAACACAAAACTCTCTTCCCTGATGCAGGTTTTTTTTTTTTTTAAAGAGAGCACAAAAACAACCAAGCCCAGTCCCGTGGATCCCACCCCACCAGTAGCTGGCTTCTCTAGCAGGTAGGAATGCAGAGACCAATGCTGGGTGGCCCTTAGGGTGGTTGCAGGAAGAAGTAGTACCCCAACAAAAGGATCAGGATGACCTCTAGCTCAGAACTGTGGGCACTGTGGAGAGGGGTCTGTCTGGAAAGACCTTCAGCAGCAACATCATTCTCTTCTTGGGGAGCCGCAAAGAAAGGCAGAAAGGAAGGGTCATAGGAATATCAAAGTTCCCCACCCCCTTAAACAACCAAAAAAAATTCAAAGCATGAATGTAGTTACAAGACAAATGCCTGAACACAGCAGTCTTTCTGGGTAATGGCACCTGTGAATAACAGACATCAGCAATGACCTGATCTATAAGCCAACACAGTGGCAACAGCTTGTGAGTCTTAGGAAGGTCTTCTGATTGATTGGACATTGGTCATTTCAGGGGTCCACATGCACAGGAAGGCATACTTGGGCACTGATTACTGGAAGTCCCTCAAGCTGACATGCATAGAATGGATGCTTACCACCCTGACCTGTTTCTGATTGCAAATGTGTAGGCTTTTGCCCATATCAACCAGTCCTCTGACATGAGGACAGCAACTGTGTGTCCAACAATTCAGATCAAATCTGACTCTCTACATGCGGAGTTAAGGTCAGACTTCCCAGTGTGCCCCAGTTTTAAATACCAGGCACTAGCCTAGGCCATTCATACTACAAGGTTGTGGGGTTCTGTAGGAGGAAGTGCGGCCTGAACAACCAGCGCGTATGCGCTGCAAATGCGCCAGAAACATCCGGCTGAGTCAAACCTGTGTTCTGCCAAAAGACATAGAGATGGCTGATGCGAAAATGGCCTGATACAGAGAGCCAATGAGGAACAGACACGACCTATCAATGGACCAATGGGACACCGGAGGGGGGATATAAGGGAGCCCCATATCCACAATAAACGAGTCTGCAGCTGCTCGCACTGCATGTTTCTCACCTGACTCCCAGAGTCTGTGTCATGACTCCGCGCCAACTCTACCCACACCTGGAGGGCCCCAGGACACCCACAACAGGGTTCCTACAACACCCTCAATTTACTAGACTGTTTCACAAAATGCAGGAGGGCACTTTACTTCTAATTACTGACTTACAATAAAGGACACAACTTAGAACAGGTCCATGGAAGAGATGCATAGGGAAGGGTACTTTTCTAGGCCTCCATCCTTTCTCAGACCAGGCTGGTGTCATTCTGGAACTAATGGTATCTCAATCCATCTAGGGTCTACAGCTACCTGGTATCTTAGTATACCAAAAATGGTCTCATCACTGGAGCCATTGAGCATCCTAGACAGCTCACACAATGTCAGGAACTGAGGACTAAGGACCACAGAAGATGCTCCAGGATGCTTCCTGATGCTCAGGAAACCACATAGATTTTAGGAGCTCCATGCCAGGAACCAGAGGTAAAGAACAAATACACATTTCTCATTCCATAATACATAGGTATCAATCACCAACTGTTAAAACAGACAAAACCACACACAAGCCATTTGTGTTTTCCATTCAATTTCATATATGGCTAAAATAAACAACCTTTTCCCAACCCCAACTTACGCCATTCTGCTTGAAGGGATCAGAGCAACTTCCTTAATGAATGCTCTCAAAATTGCCTGCATTAAGAAGCAAGAACATCACACTACAAGTGCTACTCAAAGCAGTTATGGCCTTCAGTCTTTCCCAGCATATTCACTTGTGTGCAGCATACCTCTAAGGTGTCTATGTGCAGGGTGCCATATAGGATTATTGGAAACAGCAGCAGTAGCCGTGAATGGAAGATTTATTTTTAAGCAAAGACATTAGGAAGAACATGAATGGAGAGGAGGCAGACTTGGAAGAAACTGGCCATGATGTTAAATATACTGGTTGCCTATCTCTTTTACTCTCTGTCCATACCAAAAGGAGAACAGTACTGGACACATTGAATATGAAGTGCAAAGTCCTATTGGAGACTCAGGTAGATGGGAGTATAGTTCAGTGGTAGAATGTTTGATTAACTTTGAGTGGGAATATGGGGGGAGAGGGATACCCCATTTTACTGCTATTCTTAGTGAATTCTAAAACACAACTATGCGATTTGTTCATATTAAACAGAACCAGTGACTAACAACTTGACAAAGGCTATTCTCAAAACAATTAGTTATAAAAAGTACCAATGAAATAGTACTGACACATAACTTTAGAAAAGAGTAAACTTCCTTTCAGAATCTGTTCATCAAATGAGTAGAAAGCAATTAATGTGGCCAGACGTGGTGGTGCATGCCTTTATTGCCAGCACTTGGGAGGCTGAGGCAGGTGAATCTCTGTGAGTTCGAGGCCAGCCTGGTCTATATAGTAAGTTCGACGCCAGCTGGGGCTACAGGAAGACCCTGTCTCAAAGACTAAAAAAAAAAAAAAAAAAAAAAAAAAAAGAACAAAGTTTGATCATGGCCTTGACTGGGCAGACTTCAAAATAATCTTATCTGTGCAAGGAACTGAAGGCAAAAGTAAGAAATCTGGCAAAGAACTGGAAGCTGCTTTTTGATGGAAATTCTAGAATTTAATCATATAAGAATCAAAATCATAGAAAATCAGAGAAAACTTAAAGAAAAAAATCCATGAATTAGAGGACAGCTGTGAGGTAAACAGGGACCATGAGGAGGAAAGTAGAATCTGAGAGACTCCAACTGTGAAACAAAAAAAAAAAAAAAAAAAAAAAAAAAAGGGTATAATAATTACAGTAGACAGCTGCATCTTCCAAGCCAGGAAGGCCATGATTTGAGGTGTGTACAGCTTGATTTTCACTCCACCCCGGAAAGTAGTGTTTGGGCAGGATATATTAGTGCTATACTGGTACTTCTCAGGGACTGTGAAAGGAACCAGAGACCTTGAGAATAGAGGATTGACCCTTCTCACCAGAGGCATTCATGGATGTGGGCCAAGATGTTTTTAATAAAGTAGGCCTTCTTCCTCTCTCCAAAACCTTGTTTGCCCAATGCTGCTCCCTCAATTTGGGGGAGGGAGAAAAAGTCCAGTGCTCTGGATGTTACTCAGCCCCTTGCACAGCTGTAGTTTTAGTTGTAATCTCCGACTGAACATCAGCCCAGCACCCTGTCCTTTGGTGGTGATGGTGATGACACAGGTGCCTAAGAAGCCAGTTTTCCTGGCAATGGCCTTAGGTC